TGTGGTTCTTAAAACAAATGTAGAACCTGCCAAGTTCCTTGCATTCCTCCTGTCCTGCCATGGTGGTGGTGAGGAGTCAGGATCTCATCCTCCACAACTATATTCATAGCTTTCCTCATTTTGTTGAATTAATTAAAATCTAAACACTAAAAAATTATTTCAAGTAACAATTTTCCTAGGACATAACACCCATTTACTAAGGTCATTGTTCATGTATCACCTATTATACCATTTAATCCCTCTGCCTATGTATTTTTGTTATCATTTCCTTCTTCACCCTACTGATTTCAGCCACATTTTTGTTCAGTCAGCTGAGGGCACCGACAGAAATTTTCGTTGTCATGTATTCTCTAGTCAACACTCCCCATGACACTAGTAACTTTAGACACTAGTAACTTTAGATCAGCATTTGCTAATCCAGCATTTGCTAACTTTAACAGAAGAGATCACAAAGATGATTACATATGTACAATTAATAATATATAAGCCAAAGAAACAAAGAAAAAGACCTCCTCACATCATCTACCAGGTTAACTATGAACAAAAATATGTATGACATTAAGTACATATGTAGGACATTAGGTATGAAAACCTGTCTTTTGCGAATTAAGGAAACACACCCTATTCATTCACACAGAGTCCAAGAAGAACCCCAAACAATCACATATTATTATAATAAAGCTAATCTCAAATATTGATCTGGCACTTTCAAAATGTCCTCCTTATCACATGCAAAACCCACTTTTTCCCATAGAAGAGCCACAAATTCATCCTTTCAAATTCATTCCAACCACATCACAGCCACACTGTGTTAGCATAAATAAATTTGAAGTTTTCCATGAGAAATATTAGACTGACCATACATTTGTCAAATGGGGGGCAGGGGGGAAAGGTATCAAAATTCATTTTCTGTTTTCCTCACAAGTTGTATACATGGTATTCATGATCAATAAATGACTGCATACATTTGCAAAGTATATTTAAAATCTCTATGCAAGCTTTTGCTCCTTCTGTCCCAAGGCCAGTAGGATCACCGCATTACCACATACACTCTCACACCATGGTATGAGGTATGTTAGTATTTCATGTTTCATTTCAAACTTCCTTCACACAGGCTTTGGTTCTGCTTCTTTAAGTTGAATTTTAAGTGTCTGTCTTATATTTATTTTACTATAAAGCTAATACCTTTTTTATTTATGCCAGCCTTCAAAATAACAAACGTCTGCTAAATACTTCAGGAGCTCCATAAATATCTGCCAGCAAGCAGGAGTCCTTAACATTCCTCTTCGCTGACAAATTCTGTTCAAGAGCTCTGAACCATTTCAGCTTCCTGACCTTAAAAGCTGAAGGCTAACCTTGACTGAATGCATCTAATGCATCCTTTGTTTTTCATAGCAGAATGAGGGACAACCTTCTACCCTTTGCTCATTCCTGATCTTTCAGGCAGAAGGAAACAGGATGATTTAGGATGCTGGAGAGCAAGAATTTAGGACTCTGCCTGACTGATTCAGTTTTATAGAATCTAAGCTTCAATGGAAACTTTCATGCCAGTGTTTCAATGAAGAGCAATAAGACGGACTTAAAATTACAAGTCCCAGCTTATTTGGCAAAATTTTAGTTTGCTAACATGAAAGGATCTTGTAATGTAACTCTAGCAATATTATGTGAGTTTGTGCAAAAATGCATTTATGGACACAGCTATGTCTTCTACATTTTACACTTTCTGAGAGTCTGACTCCCTAACAAAATGTCTGAAATCTGAACAAAATCAGTAAGGGTACAAACTATGCAAGAGACACTTCACATTGAACAAGTTTACAGAATAAACATCAACTACAAAGTCACAGCATGCATCCTTCCCTCACCAAAAAAATCAATGGGATCACACCTGGAAAAGTACTTCTGTATTATTCTTCACCCACACTCTGTACATCCTTTTAGTGTAATTAAATTGTAAGTGATGTAAGGTTTAAACAGGGACTGCCTCTTGCTATGGTTGCTAGCAGCCTCAGGATATGAATGTGGTGGAAGATTTACAGTACCAGCAATAAAACAAGTAACTCCAAGCTTCCTAATTATGTAAATCTGGTTATTTAATTCAAATTCTACTTTGACTGTGGTGCTCACAGTGAAACCTATCAAGATGCACACACATGAGATCTACCAGTTAAGTCCCCTAAGAGCCAGCAGCTCCCACGTACTTCCTGATGATTAACCTTTGTCAACTTTACTTAAAAGATCTAAAATTTTAACGCCTGGACAATCTTACTTGCTATAGCATTCCAGGCATTACCTCTGCTTTATCAACAAAAATCAGACACCAAGTTTTCTCCCCTGCTGCTGCTAAGCTCTATCAGAGGTTGTAACAAGAAAACCAGTGGCTGTTCTTACTTTAATGTCTAATGCTGAAAGAAATCTTCAGAAATCTCAGAGATACAAATGGGTTTCAGCATTGTGGCACAACAGGTCTGCTGCTGGAGTTCAGCTCTTGCTTCCCACTTCATCAGACAGAGTTACCATCAAAAGAAAACCAGCCTGCTGTCTGACCTTTGTGGTGGTTTTCTTGTGTCTCACTACAGTCAGGAGCATGTTTTTCTGGTATCCGATCAATCTTCTACTGTGTTTTGAAACATCACATTTTTTCCAAATAGCTAGTATAGGCTTGATGTAGCAAAATTTGAAAAATCTTCAGATAAATCACTGTAATTTTTATTGTCATTATCTACAGACTAATATTTGGCAATTAATAGCTCGCATTATCTACTGAGCTACATTTGCTCACTAACAATTAGCAGCAGGGGGAGCCATGTATTTTTCCAAGTTCTCTCATCACCTAAAATTTCTTGCTTCTTCCTATAATTTAAAGTGACAAAATAAAACGTTTTTTGCTTTGAAAATGCAAGGCCCTACCTGCACTTGGCAGAAACATATGCAACTTCTGGACTGTAATGTTATTATAGAAAAGAATTATAAATCAAACCTTTAATCTCACTTTATCTCTTCACATTTAACCAGCATTCACCCTATTTTGCATACATACTTTGCAATTTCAAGATAAGTTTAGAAAACTTATCTGTCAGGCTAAAACAACACAAAACAACCAATAAAAAAACCCACTCAGTAAAACGTGTGCAATGCACCTATGCATCCCTAGATATAATGAATGATGTCTTGTTGGTGTATTTTCTTTTCAAACCTTACCCTCCCCATCAATAGGAAGAAGATGAGTCACACACGATTCTCTTAAGATTAAAGTTTATTTCATAAAAAAATAATTGTATTGATCTCTGTCCCAAGTTGTTTGTTTTGGAGGGTTTTTTTTTAATAGAATTAAGGAAATTTAAAAGAAAAAAAAAGTGTCTTAGTTATGCACAGGAATTTTAGAAAAATAATAACTAATAAAACACATACTCTCGTAAATTAAGGGGTGCATACACAATAATACGTTCAATTCCGGAAAGCACGTTAAAGTGCCACAGAACTGTTTAAGCAGCAGACCAAATGCTGTCCTCCCTAGCGTTTCTCAACTGTGGTCCTTTAACACTGGCCTGAAGGCCCCGCAGCCGGCTGGGAGGCGTTTTCGACCCGAGCGATGGGCGGAAGCAAAACACTACCTCTCCGGGACGCTGCTACCAAGGCTACTCGCAGGGCTGGAGGGCCCCGTTCTTAGGGCAAGGGATGGCGTCAGGAGCCGAAGGAAGGACAGCAAGGTGTGGAGGTGTGAGCACAATCCTCTTGCCGACCGCAGCCTCCGCGGAGCTGCCCGGGGGCAAAGCCCGGCACCGGGCCGGAGATGAGCGGGGAGAGCAGGGGAGGCCGCCACCCGCCTTCCCTCCCCTCAGATTTGAACTGCAAGGAGGCCGTGCAGGGTTGAGCTGGGGAGCGGCAACTCCGCCTGGGTGTGAGGGCCATGGCCAACCCTTGTGTTTCGGAGGGTGGGCGAGGCGAGGACGCCTCTCCCCCGTGGTGACTCTAGGCCTCGCCCGCGTGAAAGCAGAGGGGAGAGAGATGGGGCTATCAGTGCCTCTTCCCGCCCCGGAGAGGGGTGAAGCGGTGCTCTTGCCCGGAGTGCCCGGGACCAAAGGCTCCCGTCCGGCCGTGGGTCCGCAGGCCTCACCTTGAGCAGCGTATCCACCAGGTAGATAGCGCACCAGCCCCCCAGCACGCACACCACCACCGGGATCGGGATCATCGTTGCAGCCTAATCGGTGGCGGCGGCCGTCGTTCATGCGGAGGAGTCCCCGGAACTAAACCTCTCCCGGAACCTTTCTCTATCAGCTACATTGCCCGGTCGGACACTTCCGGGCACAGTCTCGAGCGAGGGCAGATGGCGGGGTGACGTCACGGCGCAGGGGGAACGGAGCGCCTGCTCGGAGCCGACCTACCCTTACGCTGCTAGACCTGGGGCGGACTGCGCAGGCGTGTGTGGTTGGCTGGTGTGGGGCAGCCGTGGGGCTGGGGTCCTCCGTCTATCGCTGAATGAATGTCAGACGCTGAGGTGTGCGTACGTCGAGGTGTAATGGTGTAAACGTGTGGTGGTTTTATGCGACTTGTTGAATGATAGAGACGTTCGCAGGCGATGGAGCTCCCTGTGGAGCTGCGGGCGGAGGAACTGGAGCGCTTCGGGAGAGCTGTACTGAACGTGATGATTTACTCCCCGCGGGAATAAAGGGGGGGCTTAGGTGGTTGTGACCTAAACGGGGGAATAAAGGTTGTTTACGGTGGGAAGGTTAAAGGGGGTTGTGGGAGCGCTTGAGTGATGAGGGAGTAATAGGATTCCTTGGGACCAGCGACATTCTTCCGGAAGTTTAACATCGACTTCGTGTCAGAATAAAATGAGGTGTGTTGTAACTGGGAGTGGGACACTGATCTCCAGAGTTGATTTCTCAGGGCATTTCTTAGTTTAAAAACTTTCAGAGCTTGAAAGCTAAAAGCAAACAAATAGAAGATTTGGCAAAGGTTAAGGGAAGGTATTTGCCTAAATGAGCTATACAAATTGAACTGTCCTCTTCCCCTCCCTTCTGTTTCCCTCCACTCCCTCCTGTGAAAAATAGGCATTGTTACGTATTCAGTTTTCTCATTTCTGTAGATTCTCATGAATCAAGAAAGAAGCAGTGGGAGAGCCCTCCGAAGTCTGTGGCTTCTAGTCCACCTTTTCCAGTGTGCTCCGGAAATGTTTTCTTTGCCCTTGGCTTGTGATAAATTACTCAGAAGACCATCCCTCTCCTGCAAATGCATGTTGCATCCATCCTTCAGCTCTATTGCATTAGTTTGTAGATTCATAGACCATTCTGTGGACAAGCTAGGACTGCCATTAGGAGAAGGCTTCGTAAAAACAACAGTCTGTCTTTTCTACACAAAAAGCTTTGTAGAAATTGTGGGGGTTTGTTTGTTTTATATATACAAGTGTCTGTCATTTGAATAAAAAAAAAAAGTCCCCCTTTGCTAGAATTTAAACGATTTTAATGCTGTTTTTAAGTCACATTTTCCGATTTTTTAGCTCTTTCTTTGTTCCATACGTGTTTATTTGTTCTGTCCTTCATGAAAGGAATGCTGCGAGCTTTCCTTATGCTACCAACAGGAAAAACATCTCAGCTCTGAACTCCTTGGTTCTTTTAAGCTCCATTTCATTGATAACATGGTATTGCTGAAGGGGAATAAGGGGCTGTACCCCAGGAGATGGTCAGCAGGCAGGTAAGGGGAGACAGCCCTGGGCAATCTCATCATTGGCCATTGTGGGAGCAGAGTGGGAAGTGAGAACTGGTAATGCATACCTGCGTTCATGTGTTCACTGGTGAATGTCTTTCATGAAATCAATAGAATAGTTTGGGTAGGAAGGGACCTTAAAGATCATGTTGTTCCAACCCTCCATGACTATGTTAATAATACATTAATTAAGATACTATCAAATTCAGTTAGCAGCTTAATGCGATAGGCATCTTTTCCCAGACATAGTAAATATATCTTAAAATTAATTATGTCTAATAATTTATCTCTTCAACTTTATTATGTAAGTAAGTATGTGATTATTCAGCTGTTACCATAGAACACACATTGCAAAGTAAAAGTAAAACCAGTTTTACCGACACTTTCAAAAGCATTGGTGTTTAGAGGGGTTTGCAGGGCTTCAGTGAAATTGTACCTGATCACGGTTCATTGCAGTGTCAGACCCAAAATCAGCTAAAACGTGCATTTTGATGGATGTGAGAGGTAAATTTTGCCACTTCGAAGACAATAGAATCAGAACATTGATTCTGGTTGGCTGTTTGAGCATCAAGGACAGCAAATGTGTTTTTGCGTATGTTCTGAGTAGCATTTGTCAACAGATTGTTGGGCACAATCTGTTGGAAGGCTGGAATAAAGCATGATTCTGCAGAAAGTTATGTGCCAGCATAACCTGAAATGAAGGGGTGCTTTCATGGAGTACGCGAATGTTTGCAGAATAAATACCCAAGTGTAGCTAAAAATATAAAAGTATGGATGGTCAAGGATGCATGAAAGAAGAAATGGGTAAAGATGAAATACACGGTCCATTAAGCACTTATGCAGGTGAGGCGATTGCTTCTGGAGGGGGTATAAAGATCAGAGTAAAGAAGGAATCTGAGGCACAAGATACACTACAGAGATGGGTGTAGCATTGGTTGTAAATGTCTGAAGGAGAAATATGTTTTCATTTACTTTAATAATCACTGTGGTTTAACCCCAGCTGGCAAATAAATACCACACAGTTGCTCCACTCCTGGTGGGATGGTAGGAGAAATGGAAAAAGGTAAAACCAGGGCACTAATATTATCATGTAAAAATCACAGTATATGGCAGAAATATGGTAATACAGGTGATCTTTTAAACTGAAACCCAAATGAGAAAAATCATCCTTGCTGTGCCTAGAAAAGAGCAGAATGTTAAACAATTTTGTTCATAATTTTTTATGTTCCACTTACAGTACATACCAGTCTTGCTTTATTTAAGTAGAAATTAGGTCAAATATGTTAAGGTTAGGATTTGTTTGTAGCATTTAACCTGGTTACCAAAAATACATGCTGGAAAGGTGGTATGTTAACTCTTAAGACAAATTAAATTTGTTCTTAAGTCACTGTAAGTAATGTAAAAGCACAAGCATTCACGGAAACACTCCTTTACTAGGTTAATCTGCTACAGAGAAGAGAGTAGTTTTACATGATTTTTCACCATTTGTTAATTACTAGTACTGACCTATAACATTTTGAATGACAGGTTTTACTTACTTGCAGCAAGATTTAAAAAAAAAAATATAAAAACTGCAGCATTTACCCATCTGGCATACTTCTGTTAAGCACATCATGACTGGAATGACATCTTACAGAAGGTCCTCCAAACCTGTTGCACCCGAAGGAGAAATGAGTGTCAGACCCAAAGGAAAACAAAGGATAAGAAAAAACTTGAGGAATGTGGCTCAAATATTGTTCTAGACTACAGTTCTGTGAGAGTATGAGTTTAGGGCTTCAGCTGCTTCTTTAGCCAATAGTCTTGCTTATTTACCTGTTGGGCTTTGCATCCACTGCAGTCATTTAGAAATTATATGTGAGAAAAAGTATGGAATATCTACCACAGAGTAGTTATTCTTCACTGTTATGTTGAGAGCCCTTTACAGCTTTCGATTTTTTTCCTTGAAATTGGGTTTACCTAAACTGTAGGAAGAAAGGGACTCAGTCACTGAAGGAGGACAACACACACGGGAAGAAAATGGCAAGCTGTGACTTTTTGCTGTGAAGTCCCTATGTACATGATTCCCTATTTTACTGTAGGATGCAAACTAAATATGGAATAGTTTTAGCCTAACAGGTGTTATTTCATGCTTACTGTAACCTGAAATTAATGTACATGATAGTATTAGACCTATCAAGTTTGAAGCCCAGAACTTGTAGGGCAGCCTTGAACCCAGGGGAAAGAAGTGCAGTTAGGTTGGGTAAGTCAAAGTGAGATAATCAAGAAGATAAATTAGTTTGTAGTTCATCCTTTAACAAACAGACTGTTAAAGCCTGTAGCATTTCTATTTGCATATACATATATACGGTATTTAGCTGTTCTGAATAATAAGAATGTCTTGCACAGGCTGAGCTGATGAAGGTATTACCATTACTGTCCACCTGGACTGTACAGATGGTTGAACTAGCTCCAGAATTGCTTCATTATACAGCATAGCACTCTTTTAAACAAGCACTGATTTTGTTCTGCCTCAAGGACAATAGGGAGCTGCTTCCTGATCACATAGCTCTGCACACTGTGGAAAACTATAATCTGAACTGGTGCCCCAGAACTACACATCCCTCTGCCCCTGGTCAGCAAGAGCACATGTGAACTATCCATGACAAACCAGCAGTTTTGCCTTACATAGATCAGTTTATGTCAGGAACATGAGCTAAGAATGTTTCTGGTTTTTGCTAATAAATAATCAATTTGAAAGCTGTGAACATCTTAATGGATACTCAGCATATAAAGATTGTGGCACCTCAATGATAGTTGGTGAGCATAGGAAACACAGAGGAGCCTGCAGTTCTCAAAAGTTATTTTCAGGACAGTTGAGTTTTAAGCACCACTTTTAGCTCCAGATCTTGGGTTCTTCAGAGGGCTACCCCCTGTGTCGCACAGCCTGATGTGGCTGAAGGAAGCATCTTAATATTTATAGTTTGTTTTTTTTTAGGTTTGTTATTATCCTTGGATAGAAGATAATGCCAGTCCACAACCTTCCTTCATATGGATGTATGGTAAGATGTGAGGATTTTAGAAGTTACTTTGTATAATTTCCTAAAACAATTTATTTATATTATTTTTTTAATACTTGAGATATGATACTGTATTTGGAAGCTTCATTTCAAAATTAGCAGCTGGAGGACCTTACTGGTCTTTCTGTGCCAACTCTGATTTCTTTCAGTGATTTCTCTCTGTAGATGTATACTATTTGTATGGCAGGAGACCACAGATGATTGAAAAATGTTCCTGTAGCAGATATGATTCAATAAAAGTAAGGTTTGGTATAGATCATGTTTGACTACTTGATAGGTAGGTATGAGTAGTAGATTTATTCATATCTTCACCATGGAAAGCAGTCATTCTTAATTGTCTTATTTTTCAGAATGTTTGAAGTATGAGAAGCTAGGGATTTTTTTCAGTATGACTCATGGCAACTTAGAGAAGTGTCCTGATATTGATTCGAACTTTAAAATTCTTCACACCCACAGTTTATCAATCTTCATTTTATATTTTATGTTCAACCAAGGCAAACCAAAGATAGCAACAGATCTATCATGTATGATTCAGCAGTTTGGTGTAGTTGACTTTGAATTTGGTTATTTTTTATTTAAGGGCATTCCTTTCTTTAGAATATCCTTGATATTCTGCTTTCTCCAGTGCATTCCCTCATCTCCCTTGTTCTGGGTGCATTTTTCTACCAACCAGATTTTCCATGTCTCAACCATGTCTTTATTCCTGTTAATATGCCGTTTAGATGAGGAATCATCAGGAATTAGTCTTTTTAGTCTTTGTCAGACTTCAGATGATTGCTCTCACAGCAGGGTCATAGCTATGTGCGAGCTGATTACCTGCACAGCTGCAATTTTGTTTCATGTTTTATTGCAAGAGATAAGCACGTTGCTTTGTGTGGTTCTGAGTCCCCAAGTCCTCTGGTACATCTGTACTTAGTTCTTGTACATCTTTGGCTCAGATGGGTATAACAGCAAAATTCCTTACAAATCCATCAGCTGAGGTCTCAATCTGACCATTGAAGGCAAGAGTTAATAGTGTTCAGCAGATGTGATCAACTGACAGGGATGGCCTTCATCAAAAGAAGTCTGTTATGGGATTGAAAAAGATAATAGATGCCTATTTGAATTGTCCTGGTCTGTGACAATGATGAATAGTCTTCTGTTGAAAATTTCACCAATGATTCAGTCAGATCCTATTTTGTCAAATATCTCTGTCCAGAACAATACCTAATGGTGCAGTGTCATGCAGTTTGTTTCTTTTCCAAGTGATGCTGAATCACTATAACAGACAGGGTGCTTACAAAATCAGCACATCATTTAAAATTCATATTCCCCTCAAAACCTACCAGTACCCTTGCTCTTTCTTATAGTATCAGCTTTGCCAGGTATAGTTACTAAAATTTCCCAGGAGAAAAAGTGGAAACAAATGTGTTGCTTGTATGGCATCATCGTGGTTCAGTTACTCAATACGTTTTGGGAAGTAAGAGTTTTATAGAATACAAATCAACAGAGAATAAGGCTTTTGGGTAGTTCAGTGGTTCAAAGCTATGACGTTCTAGCATTTGCATGAGTTATATTCATAATGCAGTTTTTAGAACTTAATACAAATTCTTAGATGGTGCTTACAATGCTATTAAAAGATGCTGGAACTATGAAATATAGAACAAGGTCACTGGCAGCCTCTAATGAGACCATCTTCTTAATACAAGTCTAATTATTTCTTGATGGAACAGTCTGTGATAATAATCACCATGCTTTTATATGGAAAAGAAAGAATGCAGGAGTTGAATTAGTTAGCAGCTCAGAAATGTCACAGAAACAAAATCAGCTAATTTAGATATATTTGTTGATTTCCTGTCCACTAGACAATAGCAAGCATTTTCACGTGCTATTTTATGTCGTTCATTACTTAAACAGCCTGATGTTATTGTTTTCGGCTTAGCTGTACAAGCAGAAACTCAAGAGAAAGTGCTTGATTTTTTTCTTGATATTAAGAAACATAAAGGAGGAACCAAGAGAAACAATCAAGCTGATGATACGTCCTCAACTTTTTTTGGACAAAGAGGATGAGGTTTTAAATTCTTTCTGCAATCTAGGATTCAAAATGATTTTCAGTTGAAAGCAAGAGTAAGAATGTGCTGGTTAGCTCCATTCTATTTAATTTCTTTGTACTTCTGTCTAACCTCATGTGACTGGATACCATTACTGAAAGTCTGTCTTTCATCAAGCCTGTGTGCCAAGCCATTGTTACTTGAAGTAGATATATCTTTACTAAGGGAAAAGAGCCCAAAAATACAAATAAAACCTGTGTGAATTAGAACATAAATGGTGGTGGGTTTTTTTTCCAGGATCCTCTATGGTAGTCCTCTGATAAATCTCCCCAGTATCATGAAAAGAGTAGTTGCAGTAGTTGCACTGCAACTTTAGGTTTCATATTCTTCATCAAACAATTCAAATGAAGGTAGAGATAGGAATTAATTAACCAAATACTGAACATCTTGGGCCCACTATTCTTACCTGATAATAAACTGTAATTTATAGAGTTAAAATTAAGGCATGGAAGCAAAGTTTTGCATTGCCAAAGATCTATAACATGTTGCTACTACTTCATAATTCAAAGCAGAACTCCAGGAATGTATTTTAACATTTTACTTTAAAGAGGTCTTATTTCAAGTGAGCTGAGGTTGTGACTGCTCATTTGTCGACTTGCATTTTCAGTTGTATTACGTTATTTGCATTACACTGAAACATTTTGGACTATAATAGAAAAAAATATTTTTCTTCTGGGAGCCTCAGGGAATTCATATCTGTGCTCATGAGATTTGTCAAAAAGCAAAATATTTAAGTAAGCATGTTAAGTATTGGCAGCTTAAAGAAACACTTCTGACATTATACAGTGAAATATCTCAGTGAAGTAAGATACATAAGTGTTTCTGTTAACCATCAAATTTGCTTTCAAAACTATTAAGATGTTCCAGGAAGCATGTTAATTAGACAAACTTTTAGGAATGCAACAAAAGCATATTTTGAGTTTTATTGGGATTTTCATAGTTCAAATAAATACATTGCTACTGTTTTTTGGATCTCTGTACATGAGAGATAATTTTATTCAGTGCATGTCAATGTACCTGGCCCTAACTTGCCAAACATTGAATGCATCATCTGAAATGCACATCTGCCTCTTTATGTACTTCCTAAATAATCTGCTGCACATATTTAGCAGATGGACCTGCAAGCCATGGGGCTGTGCATCCTGGGGTTATTCGAAGGTAGTGGTGCCATGCAAAATAGTAGTGAAAGTGTCTATTTTTCCCTCTAAGATCTACATTTTCTAATATTAGTGATAAAATCTGAGTTTACTCCTTTTATCTTCACAATTTAAAACATTTTAGTTGGATATTAGGAATGTGACAGAAGTAGATTATTTTCCTGTTTACACATCACTAAGACTATTAAATTGCTTGTCACTGCTATGAAAATTTGTTGAAGGAAACAGCATTGAGCTGGTATTTCTTAGGCCTATTTGCATGATGATGGGATTATAAAATGTAAGCAGTGGACTCTCTTTGCTAAATTAATGACACATGGAAGAAAACTCTATTTCAGAGCTAGTCTGTAATATAACTATTGTTATATAAATTGAAACAAATTCATGCACAAGTCCTTGTTACAAAAATGCATTGCCTCTTTCATTTACTTCTAATACTTCTGCTGAAAATATGAACCTTCCCAAGGAGATATATAAAGTCACTTACCTGACTCCAGCTTTGCTTTAATGTGGTCTCAGCCACCTGGAAGGCAGGATCTTAGACTGTTAACAGCAGACTCCTCCATTCTAGGCAAAACCAGGTCTGTGAGCCCTGTTGTGAACTCTGCCATTTTTCAATTGCAGTAGGTTTCTCACGCCTTAGTATACTTGACAAAAGCCGTGTTCAGCCTTTTGGCAGAAAAGGCCAAGCAGCCTCGTTGGAATGAGCTGATTGTTATACATACCTCTGTCGGTCTTGACCTAACACAAATGCATGTGCTTGTTTCATGCCTAGCTGTGTCATGGCTTGTCATCATGGCTCCTTGGGAAGGGGGTGGCTATGAGTAGTCTGCAAGCTGCTTTTGGGAAAGAGTGCAGCAGAGAGTGAGTCACAGGCTAATTGAAGTGGTCTGGGTGATCAGCTTCCGCTTTGAGATACTTGAAACAAAAAGAGTGATTGGTCAAGTAAGTTAAAGTCAAGGGAAATCATCCCTGAAACCACTGTCCCAGCCGCTCGTTGTTTTAAATGTCTTTGGCACTAATTTTGAAAACTGTCGATCTTCTAAAAGTTGCAAGTAGCAACAGCAACTGGCCAGTACAGTATTGTCCATAATGATAGTGTTGTGGGTCAGGGGAGAACAGGTACGGCAGAAGAGTGATGAAAAGTTCACTTTTGTGAAGATGCAGTAGGTAGGAGGCCATGCTTCTGGGAATGGAAACATGAGGCTGTGTCCCACGCACTACTTGCTGTGGCATATCTCCTCCAGTAGCCTTCACCAAAGACAGTACTCCAGCCAGCATGAGCATTACTTACAATAGCATTTCAATTCCCTCATGAACTATAGTAACTCCCCCCATTGCCTCCTCTTCTTTTAGCTTTTCTTCATCCACATGCCCTAAGATTCATCTGCTGGCCGCTATGGCCTCTCACAGTCAAAAGCTCTCCTCGCTGTTAGCAGGGCTGTCCCGCTCAGAGGCACAATATGCCGAGACCCCGAGGCAGCTTCTCTGTGAGTCTGCTCCCAACCTAGCAGTGATATAGCGATGGTGTGGCATTCGTTTCCCCTACTTAGCTCCTCCAAGGTGAGTTCTTTGTCATTACATCTCCATAATTATTTTCTTCTCTGCTGTGTCAGTAGGGAGGTACATGCTGCCCCAAACACTGCAGGAGGAGTTGTGCATTGCCTGCTGCTGCCGTATGCCTGGTGCTTGTAAAAAACCCAGAACAGGGAGAGGGAGGACAGGAAAAAGACCCAAAGGTGTGTTCCTTCAACACCTCTTGCTTGACACTTGAGCCCTGGTTTTACGATGGTCAAGTGTCACTGGGGACCAAGTTACAGGGTGAATCAAACTCTATATTTAGGAAGAACAACTGGAAGCTATGACAGGAATTCCCTTTTACACTTCACTTCTCAGCTGAGTCCCACTCCAGGCTGGAGCAGCTCTCAGTGCCATCCCGGCTGAAAGCATCGGAGCTATTTCAGACACATTAAAAGGATCACAGTCCTCAGCTGGTAGAAGAAGGTACCTCTTTCAGCATCGAAGGGAAATCCACATATTCACTTGACGGTTTGGAGCTTTTCTTATATAACTAAATAAGTGAGCTAATCTTGAAGGGGTCAGTTAAAAACCTTGAAGACCCTTACAAAAACTCTTAAATAACTGCTGTGAGGTGACTGCAATAGTTGTGGGTTTCTGCTTATTTTCGTGTCTTGTGCAGTGTTATCAGCGTATTCAGAGCAGATTGTTACTGCTTTATAGTCTGTGGGGATCTTTAAAGATTTTAAACTGAAAGTCACTTAAATACCTAATGACTCATAAGAAGGGTAACTGCATATTAGCTCAAATACTGTAGTACATAGGCACATGCTTATTGTTTTCTATATGTTTGTTTTACCTGGTTAAATATTACATAGGGGTTTAAATGGTAAGAGAGGTGTTCTGTCACTGTAAACTTAACTGTAGTGGAGACAACTGCATTACAGAAAATGTGACCGCATTTGCCTACAGCATGTAGTAAGTTTTTGTGTAACAGGCTGGAAGCTGCAAAGTGGGGGTTTCTCTTCTTTCTTTGTACTAGCTGGTCTCACAGTAGTGTAGTTCCAGTCAAAGCCTTTTATTAAGATAATACACTGCAGTTCTGTGTCCAAAATACCCATTGTGCTTGATGCTGTGAGTGTGGCAGGGGGAAAGGACAGCTTCCAGCTGGGGCAGGGGGAGGGCTCTTTCTGTTGTCTGTGTGCTACTGTATATCTCTTGTGCGGATTACAAATGATGGCATTATGATGCCTCATCATATTTAAAGCAAATTGAATAAGTCAGCTTATTATCTTGCTGCAGCCCTGTCAGAAATTATTTTTAGCAGAGGGACAGAAGATAGGTCCTTTGTTTTACAAAGTTTCCTTTCAAAACACTGGTTTATTTCACTGTAGTAGTCCTGTATTTCACAAGTAGTCCCGTTCATGAGTACTTCACTGTGAAGCAAGGGAATTTGCAAGGCAAGTCTGGCATAAAACAGCTCCAAATTGAACTAACATTGCTGTCGCTCTCTAAATCCAGCTCAGCATGCAGCCCATACAAGGTAAAAGGTAAGGTGTGGGGAGGCCAGAACGACACTGGGGAATACAGTCTGTGTTTCTCTGGCTGCATACATGCAAAATCCTGCCGTGGAAGTCAAGGTGAAGAGTGTTTTTTTCAAGTTTGCAGAGCTGATTGGAATGCCAGAAATAACTTAATGCAATCAGTGCAGCACCCTTGACTATCTCTGGGACGCGTGGCAAAAGAATGTATAAAAATGAACTAATCACTTCAGGAATAGATGCATCTGTAATCTAAGCTTTATTTCCTGTGTTGATGGTCAGTATTGCTCTGGAGGGAAACTCAGGGAAGGGAGGGAAAGGGAGACAACCAGAGAAGATTGTCTATTTTTACTCAGTAGTGTGCTGTTGTCCTGATTTCTCTGGCGGTAATGAGGACAGCATGAACTGGAAGGAAAATCACCTCCTCCAAAAGCAGTCCTACACAATTGTATCATGCATCTGTCTTTAGGAACTGGTGTCTGATTGCAGGCATTTTGAGTGCAGGCTTCTTGTGAGCCAGAGCACCTCACTGAGAAGTGCTATCACTGTACTTGTTTTAAAGTTGAGATTCAATGTAAATCCTTGTCTGTTTAGCTGTAGATGGCCCAAGAAATGTATTGCAGTTTTTACAGTGCACAGGCAGGCAAGGTGGAAAGTACATCCTAGAATAATGAATTTCTCCATGAGAGTGGTTAGAAAGTAGATCCGTGGTGTTTAAAAATGTTTTATGATAATTTCCTGTGCTTTTGTTTACATTTTTCATCCTGATTAGAAAGAGGAGATGATAAGAAAAAATAATTAAACTTTTCTGGTTTATGAGTCCTATCTTTCCAATAAACCAAGGGACTGTTTTGAATTTTTCTTTGGAATACAACCACAGGTTCACAGCACACTTATTTCTATGTATAGCAGAGACTTTCAAAAAGGAAAGGCAGAAAGTGCAATAAATCCTTTTGGCTTTTTGAAATCTGTGCAAATTTTGTCACGAACTTCAGTGGTCAAGATTTCATCCCCCAAAGTGAATTCTGAAGTTTTTAAAACTGCCACTGATTTTAAGATTGCAAATGTAAATGTAAATATAGAACAAGAACATAAAACTCACTGGAAGCATGTGGGCTTTATGTTGCACAGTGGGATTTTTTTCTCATTAATTTAGTGGAAGCAACTTAAACCCAAAGCGACCTACGAAGTTGACATCCTCTAACTTAATGCTGTGTTGGTTTGGACAGCACTCTTCACAGATGAGAGAGTGATCAAAGGGAGACCTCTAATGGCAGGTCATTTTTACTTTTAAGTTCTGCTCAGCATTATACACAGATCTGAAGCTGATGTGAGAATATGCAAGAGCAAGTCTTCCATGCAGCTCCAGTGGTGATAGGCTGATATTTATGTTTCAAGCTGATATTCATGTTTCAAGCTGATATTCCAAGCTGAAGCCAACCTGCAACTCATTGACATTTTTCTCCGATATCCACTTGACAGTTATACTCTTTGGAGTACCAAAGCCTTTGACCCACTTTCGATTTCTCTGTATATTTGTACTGTCTCTCCTACATAATTTATTTTTTTTTTCCCCAGTGTTTTCCTTCTCATCTCAGGTTAATTATAGTAGCAAAAATATGCTGTGGTTTGGTTGTGGTCAATGAGTTCTCTGGTGAACTTCTTTCTCACTTTTTTGTATCACCATCTTATTTTGTATTATAATGATAAATAACCAGACTTTGATGAAGGTCCAGGCTAGTTAAGATCCTAATGCTCAACGAAGGAATAAAGGGATGAAACAATGTTTTAATTAATAAGATTTCTTTTACAGTCTTTAGACTTTGGTGTCTTTCCCTTTGTTATGGCATATTAATACTGTATTAGTCCATAATTCTCCACTTACATAAAACTATATGGAAAGCTCTGTTCTTTTTTATCTTGTTGCTAAAGAAAATTGATGAATCTATATGATCTAAAACTTTGAAGAGAGGCTGCTTCGTGCCCTAGCAATTGTCAAAGAGAATTTTATAGTTTGACCATCTTGATCATTTTCAGTCTATACTGAAATTAAAGGTTTGCAAGGATGTGTGTCAGAAAATGGTTATGATGTTGGTGTTTATCAATGTTTTGTACAGCAAATTAGCTTTATTTGAAAGAAGTTTTAAACTGAAAATTCTAATAATTCCCACATTCATACTGTGACAGAGATAATCATACATTGTTTATGCTCAAATGTTTCCCATAATTCTTACTCATTTTACAATGCAAGGTTGCATTTTACAAATACAAGTTTTGAGAGATTCCTTATCTCCACTCTATTGTTTTTAATGTGAAAGAGAGAGCTCCATTTGTGGCTATGAAAGATTAATTGGAGAAGCTCGGGTATTCTGTCTCCTTCTGATATTCAGAAGGAATATCTAAGCAACTCTGAAACTGAGATGGAAACAGGAGCTGGGCAGATGAAATGACTGCCTGTCAAGAGGCAGCATGGGTTAAGTTCTAGCTTATCTCCCTTAGCTATCAGAATGTCAGAGCCTGTAACACTTTCTCATTTTGCTTGCAGGGATAAGCCTCTGTCTTAAAAATGTCAAAACAGCCAGCGTCACATGTCAGAGCCATTCAGGTAAGAGAGAGTATTTATGTTTCTAACATAATCAAATAATAAATCTCAACCTCCATTGCTTGGCAACCTGCATTTTTGCTCAGACAAAACACCACAGAAGTGCTAACTGGGGATTATTCTTTTAAAGTGAAAAGCTTAGTGGGTATGAAAGCACTGAAAAAGTTTAACCTGAAGAGC